TACAGTCACTGTCCATCAGCATCGTAAGATGCTGTAGAATCACTACTTGTCTTCTCTATGTTGTACAGCCCTCCCCGTGCCTCCCACCCCAACATTATGTATGCTAATTATAATGCTCCTTTTTCCCCCTTGTCCCTCCCTTCCCACCCATCCTCCCCAGTCCCTATCCCTTTGGTAACTGTTAGTCCAGTCTTGGGTTCTGTTAGTCAGCTTATACTCCACATATACGTGAAATCATTTGATACTCCACCTGGTTTATTTCACTGAGCATAATACCCTCTATCTCCAACCATGTTGTCGCAAATGGTAGGATTTGTTTTCTTCTTATGACTGAATAATATTCCATTGTGTATATGTACCACATCTTCTTTATCCATTCATCTACTGCTGGACACTTAGCTAGCTTCCAATTCTTGGCTATTATAAATTGTGGTGTGATAAACATAGGGGTGCTTATTTCTTTTTCAAACTGGGTTGCTGCATTCTTAGGGTAAATTCTTAGAAGTAGAATTCCTGGGTCAAATGGTATTTCTATTTTGAGCTTTTTGAGGAACCTCCATACTGCTTTCCACAATAGTTGAAGTAATTTACATTTCCACCAGTAGTGTAGGAGGGTTCCCCTTTCTCCACAACCTCACCAACATTTGCTGTTTGTCTTTTGGAGGGTGGCGATCCTTACTGGTGTGAGGTGGTATCTCATTGTGGTTTTAATTTGCATTTCTCTGATGACTAGGGATGTGGAGCATCTTTTTATGTGTCTGTGGTCATCTGAATTTCTTCTTTGGAGAACTGTCTGTTCAGCTCCTCTGCCCATTTTTTTATTGGATTATTTGTTTTAGTTTGTTGAGGTGTGTGAGTTCTTTATATATTTTGGATGTCAACCCTTTATTGGATCTGTCATTTATGAATATATTCTTCCATATTGCAGGATGCCTTTTTGTTCTAGTGGTGCTGTCCTTTGCTGTACAGAAGCTTTTCCGCTTGATATAGTCCCACTTGTTCATTTTTGCTTTTGTTTCCCTTGCCTGGGGGGATATGTTCGTGAAGAAATTGTTCATGTTTATGTTGAAGAGATTTTTGCCTGTTTTTTTTCTAGGGGTTTTATGGTTTCATGATGTATATTCAGGTCTTTGATCCATTTCAAATTTACTTTTGTGTATGAGGTTAGACAATAACCCAGTTTCATTCTCTTACATGTAGCTGCCCAGTTTTGCCAACACCAGCCGTTGAAGAGGCTGTCATTCCCCCATTGTATGTCCATGGCTCCTTTATCATTTATTAATTGACCATGTATATTTGGGTTAATATTTGGACTCTATCCTGTTCCACTGGTCTGTGGGTCTGTTCTTGTGCCATTACCAAATTGTCTTGATTACTGTGGCTTTGCAGTAGAGTTTGAAGTTGGGAAGCGAGATCCCCCCTGCTTTATTCTTCCTTCTCAGGATTGTTTTGGCTATTCGAGTTTTTTTGTGGTTCCATATGAATTTTAAAACTATTTGTTCCAGCTCGTTAAAGAATGCTGTTGGTATTTTGAAAGGGATTGCATTAAATCTGTAAATTGCTTTAGGCAGGATGGCCATTTTGACATTAATTCTTCCTAGCCAAGAGCATGGGATGAATTTCCATTTGTTAGTGTCCTCTTTAATTTCTCTTAGGAGTATAGGTCTTTCACTTCCTTGGTTTAGTCGTAGGTATTTTATTCTTTTTGATGTAAATTGTGAATGGAATTGTTTTCCTGATTTCTCTTTCTGCTAGGTTATTGTTATTGTATAGGAAAGCAACAGATATCTGTGTATTAATTTTGTATCCTGCTGTATTATTCAACTTTGCTGAATTCAGATTTTAGTTCTAGTAGTTTTGGAGTGGAGTCTTTAGGGTTTTTTATGTACAATATCATGTCATCTGCAAATAGTGACCGTTTGACTTCTTTACCAATCTGGATTCCTTGTATTTCTTTTTCTTGTCTGATTGCCATGGCTAGGACCTCCAGTAGTATGTTGAATAGAAGTGGGGAGAGTGGGCATCCCTGTCTTGTTCCCGATCTTAGGTGAAAAGCTTTCAGCTTCTTGCTGTTAAGTATGATGTTATCTGTGGGTTTGTCATATATGGCCTTTATTATGTTCAGGTACTTGCCCTCTATACCCATTTTGTTAAAGAGTTTTTATCATGAATGGATGTTGAATTTTGTTGAATGCTTTTTCAGCATCTATGGAAACAATCGTGGTTTTTGTCCTTTTTGTTAATGTGGTGGATGACATTGATGGATTTTCAAATGTACCATCCTTGCATCCCTGAGATGAATCCCACTTGATCATGGAGTATGATTCTCTTGATGTATTTTTGAATTCGGTTTGCTAATATTTTGTTGAGTATTTCTGTATCTGTTCATCAGAGATATTGGTCTGTCATTTTTTTTTGTTGGGTCTTTGCCTGGTTTTGGTATTAGAGTGATGCTGGCTTCATAGAATGAGTTTGGAAGTAGTCCCTCCTCTTCTATTCTTCGGAAAACTTTATGGAGAATGAGTATTATCTCTTCTCTATATGTCGATAAAATTCAGCCATGAATCCATCTGACCTGGGGGTTTGGTTCTTGGATATGTTTTTGATTTTTATTACCGATTCAATTTAGTTGCTAGTAATTGGTCTGTTTAGATTTTGTGTTTCTTCCTTGGTCAGTCTTTGGATAGTTGTATTTTTTTTCTAGGAATTTGTCCATTTCTTCTACGTTTTCCAGATTATTAGCATATAGATTTTCATAGTATTCTCTAATAATTCTTTGTATTTCTGTGTGGTCTGTCATGACTTTTCCTTTGTCATTTCTAATTCTGTTTATGTGTGTAGATTGTCTTTTTCTTTTAATAAGTCTGGCTAGAGGCTTATCTATTTTGTTTATTTTCTCAAGGAACCAGTTCTTGGTTTCATTAATTTTTTCTAGTGTTTTATTCTTCTCAACTTTATTTCTTCTCTGATCTTCATTATGTCCCTCCTTCTGCTGACTTTGGGCCTCATTTGTTCTTCTTTTTCCAATTTCAATAATTGTGACTTTAGACTATTCATTTGGGATTGTTCTTCCTTCTTTAAATAGGCCTGGTTTGCTATATGCTTTCCTGTTAGAACTGCTTATACTGTGTCCCAGAGAAGTTGGGGCTTTGTGCTGTTGTTGTCTGGTCTCTCTCTTTTATGTTAAGAGATGTTCTGCAAATGTTCAGAGAGTTTTGGCTGTGAAGCACTAAAAGTTGAGTGGGTTGACTCTGATGATAGGTGTAGTTCCTCAGCTAGCTCTTTTTGGTCAGGGCTCTCTATGTATCATGTTTAAAGTTTTTCTTTACAGTAGTTAGGTGTCTAGAGAAGGTGCTACAATCTCTTACCTTGTCAGCATTCTTGAGCTGGTTAGAGGCAGAGAATTGGAGGGAGCAGTATCTGATGATGAATTTTTAGAAAAAGCAGACTTTCACTTAATGTTCTGTTTTTGAATTTGGACCCCTAACTCTACTTCTAATGTCCTTGTTTTCCCTGTTCTCTGCCCTCCCTCTCCCACCACCAAAAGAATATAGTTCTGCAGGGGGAAGGGAGGGGTAGTGATCTAGAATTCTTACTGTTCCATACAAACTTTCAATCTCCCTGTTTTTAGTATCAGACTGCATAACCTCTCCCCCATTTTTAAAATATCTAATGCTTCCAAATTCCTGAGCTTATTGGCTTGTTTCTTGTCCCTTTGTTTGTTTGCATCTCTGTTTTTCAGACATGTAAGTTTGGGTACTTTCTACTCCAGTAATTCATTTACCATTCCTAGAACAGATTTCCATCTTCATACTGTATGTTTCAGGGGTGACAGATGGGCTTGGGGTCTCTAGATTAGTGGTCTGTGTAAGGCTGGAAATGGAGGAGAAGAGGTGCTAAAGTTAAGTACTCAACAGAACTTAGTTTTAGGAAAATGTTTGGTCAGTTTGGAAATTTTTAAGAAAACGTTTGGCACTCTTAATATGTATATTCTCTGAGGTCCAGGTAATTTGTCTCTGGAGACTGCAAGGCTTTGCAGAGGCTGGAAACCATCATTTATGGGATTGATAAATACAGGACTACACTACTACAGGAAAATATATTCTATGTTGTGCAGAGGGTAAATATGAGTAGGAGAGACATGTATTTCCCATTATCTTTAGCTTTACTGCTAATTATTTGTGAGACCAGAGCTGCAGGAAAAGGACTATGGGATTTTGAACTACTCCTGTCCAAGGTTTGTATTTTGTAATTTTGAAGGAAGTTTTTCAAAGTCAGTATCACAGGGATTGCTTTCTCCATCCCACTTTTGCTCTAACAGGCCTTTTAGGTTGGTGCTGAACGAGTAACAAAAGTTACTGCACTCTTCATCTTCTCACAGAACAAAACACTAAATCAGGTCTAAAAGAAATGCATATAAAAATGTGAGATCCACATATTTAACATTATTTTTAGCTTTTACTTCTGGTAGTGACAGTATGTTTTATTTGAGAAGTTTTGGCTGGCAACAGGTACCATTTCAGAAGAACTCAAATAGCAAAGTAAATTGTATTTGCTGCTTTGGAACTGACTGAAGTCAGGTTCAAATTTTTCTAGTGGGCTATAATGAACTCCATTATAAGTGCAGCCTTCACTTGTGGAACTACCTAGAATATAGAGCCAGAGAAGGGAGGAGAATTTGCCTAAGTTGCCTGTGCAATTTCAAAAATCCAAGAAAGAAGAGGTTCTAAGTTTGGCTGAAGCATGCAATGCATCATTTTTCTTATTTGTTCTCAGCCACTTTCAGCTTTTTTGTAAGATAAATAAGGAACTGACCTACCAAGGCCAATACCACTTCACCTGTTACCACAGCCTCACCTATAGTAACAATTTACAATTAAGTAAACAAAAGTCTGGGTGTAGCTAAAATGGATATAATATTTTTTAAGAAAAATTTCAACATGTAGTGGGTTTATTATAAATGAATTAACATTTTTTAGATTTGTTTTAATTTTTATTCAAGTATAGTTGATATACAATATTACACTGATTTCAAGTATACAACATAGTGATTCAACAATTCTATACATTATTAAATCCTCACCCCAACTAATTTAGTTACTATCTTTCAACAAAGAAAGTCGTTATAGAACGACTGACTGTGTTTAAAATGAATGTCACTAACATGACTTGCAGACTGAAGATGCAACCTTCTACAGGTCTCTTTTCTTTAACAGTTTTAACTAATGTAAGTTACTTGGTTCAACTTGTAACAATTAGGCACAGCACACAGAAAGGCAATGGGCAAGTACTGATAAGTGAGAAGAGACAAATGAAACAAAGGAAGACACAGAAATTATAAAAAGCATCATACAGGAAGCCTTGAGTCCTTTAAGAAAGATACCAACAATTCTGTATCATATATGTAAAGAGAAGAGAGGCATTTTGTCTTTATAACACATACAATATATTCATTTTCTTTTGATGAAATAAAATTTCAAATTATGATTAATAATTTATTGAAGGTAGTGATCAAATACAGAAGGAATTCTACACCAAATTATTAATTAAGGTTTGTCTTTAATGGGATAAATCTATCCAGAAATTTGACTAAGGGTTTCAAATAATCAAGCTTTCAAAATTTATAGGAGAAACTGTCAGAAATGTTATGAGGCCAAATTCTGAACTTGGCTTGATCTTCTGGAGAATAATTATTTTCATGCTAAAAGTGTTTGTGGTCACATTCTGAGACATGTGTACCTTGCAATTTGTAGTAGGCAGCTTCTGAGATTGGACCCCATGATGCCTGCCTCTGGTATTTATGATATTGTATAATCTTTCCTTTAAGTGTGAGCTGATCTAGTTACTTGCTTCTAACAACTAGAATATGCAAAGATGATGGGATATTACTTCTGAGAAAAGGTCACAAAAAGTCTGTTATCTTCTGTCTTGGATACTCTTTCTTGCTCTGAGGGAAGCCAGCTGCATGTTGTGAAAATGCCTAATGGAGAGGCCCATGTGGAAAAGAACTGCTATCTTCAACCCACAGCCAACAAGGACCTGAGGCCTGCCAACAGTCACAGAATGAGTTTGGAAAGGGATTCTCTCCCACTTGAGCCTTGAGATTACTGCAGCCCTAGCTGACAGTTTGACTACAACCTCCTGAAAGACTCTGGCCAGATGCACCCAGATAAACTGAGCTTGGATTCCTAATCTACAGAAACTGTGAGATAATACATTTGCTGTTTTAAGCTGCTAATTAGCCTAAGTTTTAGGGTCATTTGTCATGGCTTAGTAAATAACTAATACAGATTTTGATGTCATGAGTGCTGTTCTGTTGTAACAAAAACCAAAAATGTGGGAGCAGTTTTGGATCTGAGCAGTGAGAGGAAGCTGCAATGACTCTTGAGGAAAGCTGTGGTAAAAGCCTACATTTCCATGAATTGACAGTGGATTCTGGACTTTGAGGAGGTTGCCTGAGGTTTTAAGGAAGGCTGGAACATCTGATCAGAAACTGGAGGTAGGGGTATGTTTATTACATAGTAACAAAATTTAGCAACCCTGTCACTTGCAATTATACAGAAAATAGAATGAACCAAAGGTTGGTCCTGTTCAGATTTCTATGCAAAGTGTTGAAGGTGCTACCAGGTTTCTTCTTGAGAAACTGAGGGAGAGACTGTTTAAAAAGAAAGAGGCAATGGGTTGATGGCTTTGAAATTGGGACTGAAAACTCTCAGCCATGCCACCTTCCATAGGCGCTGCCACACTTCACTGATTCTGCTTCCAACACCACACCACCTTCTCGGTCTTTAACTTTCCTGCCTCCCTCCTCCAAGGGCCCTAGTGATTATATTGGGCCTACCCAAAATATCCGCAGTAATTTCTCCATTTCATCATATTTTTTTCCCCAGAGTGCCACAGGGAGTGGTTTTATTGCTTTCAGAACAAAATAAGATGATCTCAGAACTTTTTTTTTTAAGAAAAACGTTTAGAACTTTAGAATTTTTTAAAACACTGTCAGCTGATGAAGTAGGCACTTCAATAGAGAAAACTTTCCCGAGGAAAGTGCCTGGGCTGGCAGGCACAGCACACAACTGTATGGACCCCAGCTGTCTGGTTAGATGCAGCTGACCCCTGGGAAGCGGATCTGGGGCTTGTGGCCAGTGTGCTGAGTGTCAGGTCTGACTTCTTGGCTCTGATGCCTGCAGTGCTCCAGAACATACTTACAGCTCTTCCTCTTCCTCACCACCCTGTGCCTTGCAATCTTCTACAGGACTCTGTGGGACAGGCAGGGGGCCAAAGCTACTTTTGGGGCAAGATTGGCCAGGATCAGCTCATGAGAGCCTGGCAGTATCCAAGGAAAGCCAGAAGCCCCATGCTGAGTGCTGCCACTGAAGGCCTGGTTGTGGGGTCAGCATGCCTGATATTGACCAAGTAGGGGCTCCTAGCACCTACAAATGTCTGAGGCAGGAAAACAAGGCTTCCCAGCTTATTGCACCCCAACAATGACCCTAAAAGGCTGATCTTGGCTTCCAGACCTTGCTTAGGAAAAAAGGGAATGTTCTCATTTAAAATTCCTTAATTACATCTGCAAAGTCCCTCTTGCCACGTAAGGTAACATATTCACAGCTTCCAGGGATTAGGACTTGGGACATCTTTATGGGCCATTATTTAGGCTACCACATAACAGGCAATAGATAACTAACACTTAGAATTTCTGCAGTCTATAAATGGAAAAAGAAATGAACACAGTGCTATAGAAATAACCGTCACATAGCCCTTACACAAAAAGCCCGTACATGTCTTTAAATTTTAAAAAATGGCTTATGTAGGAGAATGTTCTTATTCTTGGAGATGTGTGCTGAAGGAACACAATATCTGCAACTTCCAAATAATTCAACAGCAGCAGCAAAAAAATAAAATGCATGTGTGTGTACTATATAGAAGAGAGATAAAGAGATGAGGCAAATATGGCAAAATTTTAACAACTGAATCTTTGTTAAAAGTATGCAGATGTTCTTCAAAATTTTCTGTAAGTATGAAAAAAGGTGGAAAAAATCAAGATTAAAAAAAATTTTAATAACAGATAGTTTACAAAAAAGCTGATTGGAACAGATTTTTAAGACATATGATTTGTGAGTGGGCTAAAACTGAGACTTAAACTCAGGGGTTGGCAACCTACTTTGTAAAAAGGCCAGAGAGTAAATATTTCAGGCTTTGTGGGCCATCCAGTCACTATTCCAACTACTCAACTCTGCTGTTGTAGTGTGAAAACATAAGACAATACATAAATAAATCAACTGAGTGTGTTCTAATATAACTACAAAAACAGTGGCCAGTCAGATTTGGCGTGCATGCTGTAGGGTGCCAATCCCTTGATTTAACTCAAAATATTCTTTCAAAATAAAATAATTTTAAACAATCTCAAGAAACACATACTAATGATCCACACTGTGTGCTAGGCACTGTATTAGGCACTGCAGACTTTAAGGTGCTTTTTCTCACTGTTTTCTTCAAAGACAGAGTGTGTGCATTCTAAAAATTAAAGCATTAGTCTCATAATCCCTGGTTGTGAATTCACATTTTCTTGAAACTCGATTCTGATTTATTCGTCTTCCTTCTTTTTGTAAACTCTATAATATAATCCATCCTTCTTTTCTTCCTTCTCTCCTTCCTCTTTCCGACTGCACTCAAGTGCACAGAATTGGATTAATCATAATCCTTAGTTTAAGAAAACTTTCATTATTGGTCTGTTCTTGGCCTGTTGTTATCTATTTTGTAATGTGATTCTTTATTTTTAATAATGTAATAAGCATCCCCTTTGAGCAATTATGACTTGATAATTTCACATGCAGAGAAAACACTACTCCAGCCAGATATGATAATAAAGGAAAGAATCCAAATTTTGAAATTTACATTTTTAATTCCTCTGGGCTCTTGCGGCCTAGAGACTCATTATCTCTAAAACACAAATATGAAAGAGCTGATAACATTTATGTTTACATATTTCTGATTTGTCTTAAAATATTTTAGCTGCTTCGCAAATCTCAGGCTGGGTTCCTGGTGAGTTCAATACTCTTGTGCTGCCTAGAAACAACTGGATAAATGTTATTAATACTTCCTATATCAAGAAGAAAAAATTATAAATCAGCTCAGAAGCATGATATTCTATTCCAACAATGCTTTCTAGAAAAAGAAATGTTTCAGTGTATTGACATTTGGGTGAAGTCAGACAAGATGGATTGGAATGTGAATTGATTGGGAATGTGTAGTAACTATGAAATAGGAACCTCTTTGTATTACAGAAAGCAGTACAAATATAGTAAATTTAGTATTAAAACTTTGATTTTCTGGGGAAAAAAGTTTAGCATGATATGATTAAGATACATCAATGATCCTATCAATGATATGATTAAGAAATCACAGAATTTGGCTACAGGACTCTCATTAGGCAAGAATGCTAAGTTGATTTCTGTTCAAAGGTAATGTTACCAAACCGACTTTTCAGAGACACTGAAAGATACTTAATACAAGTACAGTCAATAATAATTTCATCATTTCATTTTTACTCCTTTTCTCAAACTGGGGAACTTTTTCTCATCCTTTAAACATGATAATCGAGTAATGCCTTTTCTGTGCCCACCTGGCATCCTGAATGTCCTACCTTCATGGCAGTTATCACATTCAATTACAGTTAATTACAAATCTTCACCATAATTGTTAAACAGAGGGACAGAGTCTTAATCATCTTTATATCCTGGATGCAGGAATGAATAGACAGTTGGATAAAAAAAAGAAATAAATGAATGAGATCCTTTCATAGATCCTCCATTTCTACAGATGATGGACTAAGAATAGCTTCTGAGATCAACTTGCAGTATAGTTTGAGCACACTGAGGGAGAAAAAAAGCAACTATTAGGATCTCCCTGATTTGAACCTGCTGAACAATCAGGGATACATATGACTTTAGAGAATACTGTCATTCATTCTATTATTCTATTCAATCCTGACTCTCAGAAATAGAAGAATTCAATAACTTTAAATGATTTGTTGATAAAAACACTATATAGCTTTTAAAAAGCATTATTTTTCTGCTCAATTGAATTTTGAAATGTTTGTGAGGGAACCAATTGGTGACAGGCTGCAAGAAAAAAAAATGGTAGAAAAATCTAAGAAATTCTCCCTAACCCCAACATTAATAAGGCTTCAATAAATGAAAGAAGAGAGTATATCTTCCAAGATCTCTAATCACAATGTTTTTTTCTTTCCTGGAAGATCATTCTAGAAAAATCACATTGCAGATACAAGGGCTTTGCCTCATTTTTCTTTTTAAAAATGCACATGATAAAAAAAAGAAAGCTGAGCCAGGACAATCATATTCCCTGTAAAGAAGAAGGCCTGATAAGAAAATGGGGAATTAAGAACAAGGAAGTATGTCACACCATCACTCTGTTAAGATGTTTGGCGAAACTACATTTAAGAGCTAGAAATCAGTATTGGGGAAGAAACATAATGTTCAAAGTTTACTTAAAGCAGGAAGTAAAATCTGGCTTAATTAAATAGAGATTGATAACCACTGAGTTCAGTGAAAAGGAGACCAAATCTTGTGTGTGTGTGTGTGTGTGTGTGTTTCCTACACATCTCCATGTACTGATATTTGTACTCTATATAAAAGCTCAAAATAATCAGCACTTGCTTCTGCTTCATATCTGCATCTGTATTAATTATTATTATTAATAATTTTTAAAGGGTGATTGCTTCACTAATTTTTTTAAAAACTCAGGGCTATATACTTGGTTAAATTTTCATCTGGTGCTGATTCCTTTTTGCTTTATTACTCAGACTTGAAAGAAGGGAATTGTTCATATGCCAAACATTTACAACAGTTTCACACGAGGGAAGGCCAGGGCTACATTCCAGGTTAGTAGGAATTATACTTATGACACAGGATGTATATGAGAATTTGGGCTTTTTACCTTTACTTCTCTATACAACTAACCAAGATCCACAGTGTAGGGCTGTATTCATTGCTGAATCTCTACTTCAATCTACTTCACAACTGACAGCATTTGTACAAATATGGCTCATGGTCTGTGTTCAGTCCCCACCTTCCCTGCTTGATGATATTTCATGTCAAACCCTGTCTAAGTAAAGCTACTGGCATCTGGCTGTGTACTGTTCTTCTTGTTACAGGCAAGAGACTGTTGGTTTTGAGCTCGGGATTTGCGATTCCTGTGGAAATCTGTGTTCTTGCCTAAATGTATATGGTGTTATGGGGTCTAACTTCAACCTTTTGGACATCAATATCGTTGTCCCAGCACAATTTGTTGAAATGACTGTTCTTTTTCCCAATGAATTGTCTTGGCACTCTTTTTGAACAATTAACCATAAATATTAGGACGTATTTATGAACTCTCAAGTCACCTACTATCTTTTTAATAAATTATCTTTCTGCTTAAATCAGCCAGAGTTGATTCCTGCTGCTTGAAACTTAGAATTTTGTATCAGGAATGGGGAACTGTAATATAAAGTTAAGTAAGAGGAGGATCACTGTGAGACAGGGACCACAGAAAAGGGTGAGGGCCTCCAGAAAAAGACCCTTAACAAAACTCCATGTTAAACAATTAAGCAAAGCCAGAGTCACATTAATTATCTAAAGTAAAATGTCAAACTAGGAATATAGGCATTCTTCAGTGAGATTAGTTAAAACTAAAAAGCCAGGAGTAACTTAGCCTGGAATGTTGGAATATCCCCGGACAAGAAAGTGAGGTCAGCAGAGCCCATGTCTTCATTGTGCTAATTAAATCATGCTATTGTAAAATTTATTTAATCCCGCTAAAGGCCCAGCTTATTTTCTGTAACTTTACCCGGATGCTGTTTTTTCCTCCTCCAGCCCCTAATCAAGTAATTTACAACCTGGGCAATTAATATGGCAAGTGAGCCCAATCAAAAACAACATAGTAAAAACAAGAAAAACTCCATCTTAAAGGTAAGATTGCATTTTAAAACCCCAGAAGTTAAAAAATAGGTTTCTTAACATAACAGACAATAACAGCCCACCTTGGGAGCAAGACAGGCAGTATTGATTGATATGCTCCCAGACCAAGAAGTGGCTATTCTGGGAAAGAATCTGCTCTCAAACCAAAAAGCTGCTATTTTGGGAAAGAATCAAAGCAATATATTTCTTGTGTTAACTCTGCAAAATAATCTAGCAGTCTGATAAGAAACTTAGTGTCTCTTCAAAGATAAGAATGTGGAGAACATTTAGCAGGTCTGCATCCCTAGCCCTTTGTCTATCAACTGCCTATAAATCCCCTAGACAGGGCACCACCATGGACTCTCTTGTCCTTCCTGGCACGAGACAGGAGCTCTGTCCTCTCACTTTATCTCTAAATAAAGGCATCTCACTTTTTTTTTTATTAAGAGAAAGGAATATTATCAGAAAAGAGTACCTCCATAGCTGATCATCTGACACCCTTTAAGTGATCAACATTAAGGATATTTAAAGCATGCATTGATCTTTGATTTACCAATAGTTTTACCCTATCAAGGAGTAATCCCCCTTTTCTTTCTTTTTTTTTTATTTAAATTTTTACTCTATACTGGCATGAAGAATACTGTTTACTATGCTCTCCACTATATCAGGTCCCCCATAACAACCACATTACGGTTACTGTCCATCAGCTTAGCAAAATGTTGTAGAGTCACTACTTGTCCTCTCTGTGTTGTGCAGCCCACCCTCCCCTTTCTCCCTCCCCCCCATGCATGCTAATCTTAATACCCCCCTTCTTCTTACCCCCCCTTATCCCTCCTTGCCCACCCATCCTCTCCAGTTCCTTTCCCTTTGGTACCTGTTAGTCCATTTTTGGGTTCTGTAATTCCGCTGCTGTTTTGTTCCTTCAGTTTTTCCTTTGTTCCTATACTCCTCAGATGAGTGAAATCATTTGGTATTTCTCTTTCTCCGCTTGGCTTATTTCACTGAGCATAATACTCTCCAGCTCCATCCATGTTGCTGCAAATGGTTGGATTTTTCCACTTCTTATGGCTGAGTAGTATTCCATTGTGTATATGTACCACATCTTCTTTATCCATTCATCTACAGATGGACATTTAGGTTGCTTCCAATTCTTGGCTATTGTAAATAGTGCTGCGATAAACATAGGAGTGCATCTGTCTTTCTCAAACTTGATTGCTGCGTTCTTAGGGTAAATTCCTAGGAGTGGAATTCCTGGGTCAAATGGTAGGTCTGTTTTGAGCATTTTGATGCACCTCCATACTGCTTTCCACAATGGTTGAACTAATTTACATTCCCACCAGCAGTGTAGGAGGGTTCCCCTTTCTCCACAGCCTCGCCAACATTTGTTGTTGTTTGTCTTTTGGATGGCAGCTATCCTTACTGGTGTGAGGTGATACCTCATTGTAGTTTTAATTTGCATTTCTCTGATAATTAGCGATGTGGAGCATCTTTTCATGTGTCTCTTGGCCATCTGTATTTCTTTTTTGGAGAACTGTCTGTTCAGTTCCTCTGCCCATTTTTTAATTGGGTTATTTGTTTTTTGTTTGTTGAGGCGTGTGAGCTCTTTATATATTCTGGACGTCAAGCCTTTATCAGATCTGTCATTTTCAAATATATTCTCCCATACTGTAGGGTTCCTTTTTGTTCTATTGATGGTGTCTTTCGCTGTACAGAAGCTTTTCAGCTTAATGTAGTCCCACTTGCTCATTTTTGCTGTTGTTTTCCTTGCCCGGGGAGATATGTTCAAGAAGAGATCACTCATGTTTATGTCTAAGAGGTTTTTGCCTATGTTTTTTTCCAAGAGTTTAATGGTTTCGTGACTTACATTCAGGTCTTTGATCCATTTTGAGTTTACCTTTGTATATGGGGTTAGACAATGGTCCAGTTTCATTCTCCTACATGTAGCTGTCCAGTTTTGCCAGCACCATCTGTTGAAGAGACTGTCATTTTGCCATTGTATGTCCATGGCTCCTTTATCAAATATTAATTGACCATATATGTTTGGGTTAATTTCTGGGGTCTCTAATCTGTTCCACTGGTCTGTGGCTCTGTTCTTGTGCCAGTACCAAATTGTCTTGATTACTATGGCTTTGTAGTAGAGCTTGAAGTTGGGGAGTGAGATCCCCCCTACTTTATTCTTCTTTTTCAGGATTGCTTTGGCTATTCGGGGTCTTTGGTGTTTCCATATGAATTTTTGAATTATTTGTTCCAATTCATTGAAGAATGTTGCTGGTAATTTGAGAGGGATTGCATCAAATCTGTATATTGCTTTGGGCAGGATGGCCATTTTGACGATATTAATTCTTCCTAGCCATGAGCATGGGATGAGTTTCCATTTATTAGTGTCCCCTTTAATTTCTCTTAAGAGTGACTTGTAGTTTTCAGAGTATAAGTCTTTCACTTCCTTGGTTAGGTTTATTCCTAGGTATTTTATTCTTTTTGATGCAATGGTGAATGGAATTGTTTTCCTGATTTCTCTTTCTATTGATTCGTTGTTAGTGTATAGGAAAGCTACAGATTTCTGTGTGTTGATTTTGTATCCTGCAACTTTGCTGTATTCCGATATCAGTTCTAGTAGTTTTGGAGTGGAGTCTTTAGGGTTTTTTATGTACAGTATCATATCATCTGCAAATAGTGACAGTTTAACTTCTTCTTTACCAATCTGGATTCCTTGTATTTCTTTGTTTTGTCTGATTGCCGTGGCTAGGACCTCCAGTACTATGTTAAATAACAGTGGGGAGAGTGGGCATCCCTGTCTGGTTCCCGATCTCAGTGGAAATGCTTTCAGCTTCTCGCTGTTCAGTATAATGCTGGCTGTGGGTTTATCATATATGGCCTTTATTATGTTGAGGTACTTGCCCTCTATTCCCATTTTG